TTTTAATTAATAATTGTCAATCATCTTGATAAAATAATTTTTGATCATGGATTGAAAATTTCAATTTCAATCCAATCAAATATTCAATCTCAATCTCAATATAATAATTTTTGAAGGCACCCATTATGACATTAATTGGATTTGTTAATCAACTTATATCGAATACCCCAGTAGGACACCCCAATACTACAGGTACACCAGGATCTAATTCAACTTGACAATAATTATCTGTAGTGAATCTAGTAATTATAGGACTAGAATTATAATGCCTAAATTTTGTTTATCCAATGTATTTAAATATTGTTCACTACACTTTAGAGTGTAAGCATTCTGGGATTACTTGTAGTTGAAGAGTAATGGGAAACCTAAAAGTGGATTGTTTGATATCTTTTGGAAATCCATTAAATGTTTTGGAAAAGTATAATTTGTAAATTGCTTTTGATAAATTAACTAATTTTGCGGCAATGGTAACTACCATTATAAAATAAATACGGCTGCTGCAAATTTTATTTTACACATAATTTCACTGTAAACGAATGACTGACTAATTGACTAAGATGACTAATAATACTAATGACAATAATTGAAAACTATCTCCGGCAGTCATAGTTATTTCTGGCAGTTGTAGTTATTTGCGGTGGCAGTATCTATTTGCAGCAGTCGTATCTATTTACGGCAACTGCATCTATTGGCGGCAAATGGCAGCTACCAACAGCTATTTACGGCAATGGTAGCTACCAGCCCAGTCATTTACGGCATGGTAGTAATATTTTTGTTACTTTTAGAAGAACTTTCTGATAAATTATTATCATCATCATTATTAAATCTATCAGATTTTGGTGTTTGTTGAATAATAAACTTTTTGGAACAGTTTTTGGAATAGTAATTGGGGAATTTGTTCTGTTAGCTTTGGCTAAATTTAACGTTCGAATTTATTAAATTTAAGTTTTTGTTTTTAATATCAGTATTTTTACCAATATTCTTATTATTGTTATTACCATTAACACCACTATTACTATTACCTCTACGTTGTTTGAATTATTATTCTGTAACACTATCCAAGACTGTCTTGCTGGATTTTGAGTGCACGGTTGATATTGGAGTTGCACACCACCAACGTTCATATTTGTTTTCTTTCGAGAAGAATTTATATGTAGTGGTTAGTTTTATTAAATTAAGTAATTATATAAATAGAAAATGAATTATTACGAAAAGGCTATTTTCAAAATTATTGGTTAGTGTGTACGTGAATAGTTTGTAATTCTTTTTGAAATGAATGACTAGGTATCTATAATGATTAGGACCACCCAGTGGACCGCTTGTACAAAGAAAAAAAAAGAGGTTCCCTCGCTATTTAGGATAAGTTTATATTTGAAAATTCTACACAAACCATTATAACTACGTATCACACTTGAAAAACAAATCACGAAAACATTAGTAAACTTGTGCATTGTAAGTAATAAAGCTGTTGCCACTGTGCTTAGTCTGAAGTAACAGGAATAACTGATCTTTCTATTTCTAAAAGGGAAGTCATTTAGATATGGGTGGGTGGTGGCTGACAGGCGAATATTGAAATATCTGATTGATTTACACTTCTAATTGTTAAAATTTTTATCTAAATCTTTATACATTCGTATTATTATTTATTTATTAAAAAAAATATAATAATTGATTAAAAAAAATCTTTGTATACTAAAAAAAATTTTTTTAAAAAAAAATTTCAAATTTACAAATTTATTATTAATATTCACAATTAAATAATATTATTTACCAACTTGCACACAAAATAAAAAATTATAATACTTTTTATTATATATATTATAATATAATAATGTTATATATTTTAAACAAACTAAATCAAATCAGTTGGATTTCATATAGAACAAGATGTAGGCCAACCGATCAGTTGGCTGAGTAGGACACTCAGCTAGCGCCACATCCTCAGCTGATATCGGCGTGATCACCGTATCATCAATGTGGAGCCATTCAGCATTCTGACGAAGAATATCACAGGTGTAATGTCCCCCCATTGCCGATTTTCCATGGTGGTAGACCACTAATTAAAAAAAAAAGTAACCATTTTAATATTTGCAAAAGCGACAAATCAAAACAATATTAATAAATAATAATAAATAATAATAATACATACCACCGAAAAGTTTATATTCTGCCGGTTGAGATGGCCGGCGACTAGGAGCAAACATATCTATTTGTTCGAAATAGATATGATAAAATTTTAATAAAGAATTTGTCTTTTCCTAAAAAAATTCATATTTAAACTTACCGGCTTGAATATTTAATTTTGCTGGATAACTAATAAATTTGCTCAATTTTTGCGTACCGCCGACATTATCGTAAACAAATCTTTTCAAATGGAGTATAAGTATTGGTGGTAACGTTTGAATAGATAAGTTTTTTGTAGCCTGGATCTATTTTTTTTTTTTTTTTTTTTACGAAAAAAATTTAATAAATACAATAAATTAATTATTATAGAAAAAGAAAAGGATGAAAATTTTACATTTCCTCCTTTTTGAGTAGAATAAAAATCATCCACACGTTCAGGAGCTGTAAGGTTTTTTAAAGCATCACCAATGGTCTTGACATCATCAGGCTAATAGAAAAGTACATAATTAATAATTGATAAATGGTGAAACTATCGAAAAAAGAATAAATACTTGAATATCTAATTGTAAAGACTGATAAGGTTGTAAAGTGATTGAATCATTGCTTCCAGGACATTTCAAAACAGATCTAAATTGCCCTCCGAATATTCTACTGACAGGAGTTTCTTGAATTTCATTCTGTAATATTAAAATTATTAATAATTTAAATAAAAATTAATAAGTAGATGAAACCTTTATACTAACAGTTCTAGTGTAACTCGTTTTATTTCTTGGACCTACTTCCATCCATTCACCATCATTTTTACCATTTGTTCTATATTTTGTATTTTTATCTGGTTGTGTAACAATATTTTTATTTTCTTCTTGAACTAAAATTGTATTAATAAATAAAATTAGCTTTAAGTCAAATTATTATCAATTATTTAATTAATTTACATGTTAAAAATTCTTCATGTAAACCATCCAGTAAAAAGCATAAAAATTCTTCTGCATCCTCTTGCCGCCCCTTCATGGAATTGAAGCGTTTAAGGCCTCTTAAAGCATAATATACATATTCAGGTAAAAATGGTTCACCATATTCTATTTTTTTTTTTTTTTTTGAATATGATCCAATTAGTACGAGGAGGTTTGATTTTTTTTATTAAATATAAATATACCTAAAAAGAAATAAAAACATTCATTACCTTCGGCATTATCGCCAAGCTTTGATTGTTTATACTCATTCATAAACATAACACTAAAATAATAATAATTTATATCAAGATAATATCGTTGACAACAAGGAATATACGTAAAGATTAGGTTAAAATACTCACAGAGAATCTATGAGTGGAGTTTTGCTTTTAAAACTATGAGCTACTTCTTTACTAACAGTCATGAGTAGGTTGTATAATGGAGGACAATGAGAAAGCGGTTGTAAAATCTATTGGAAAATTAAATATTAAATGATTAAATATAATTGGCTAAATAGTAAAAATTTAAAAGATGAAGTGGAATATGTGAAATGTAATATTTACGGCATTCATGAAACATGTGTTTCCATTATTCATAAGACCTCGAGGTTGAATAAAAGTTCCTTTTAACGACAGTTCATAACTTTTCAAAATGCCTTAATTGTATTTGAAAGTCATTTAATTTATTTATATATATATGCAAATTTATAAGAATCTCAATACATAATAACGAAATTTATACCTGTCAAGCCATTCAAAATAGGCTTACCGTTGGGCAACGAGACAGAAGATTTCCTTTGTTTCGCAAATGTTGAAGAGCTTTGTAATTTTGGAGTGGTATTATTAGATTTTTGAGGAGTAGATTGTGCAGAATTATGATTATTTGCACCATTTGTACGAAGAAGATCAGCCCATCTTGCTGGTGTGGATTTAGTGGTTGAAGAAGCAGCGGAAGATTGGATTTCGTTGGAAAGATCACTTTTGCCATTAATAATCTGAGATGTAGTGGGACTTGTATTAGTGCTTGTATTAGAAGAAGATGTATATGATGACGATGATGATGACGATGATGACTTTGTTGGTGATGGTAATGATAGTGACTTAAGTTTTGAAGATTGTATTGAAGAAGTCGTAGCAGTAGTTATTACGTTAGGTAAATTTGCTCTTTGCGACGATATTAAAGTAATATTATTATCGTTAATTTTGTTATTATTATTATTATTATTATTATTATTATTATTATTATTATTATTACTATTGTTATTGTTATTATTATTATTATTATTCGATTCTTTAGTTGGTGGTGATTTAATTATTGTTGATGATAATAGTAATGATGATTGTGATGATGATGATGATGATGATGATGATGATGATGATGATGATGATGATGATGATGATGATGATGATGATGATGATGATAATGATGATAATGAAGAAGTTGTAATGATCCCAATGGCTGATATGCTTAATCATAAGACAGGTTATAATAACGTATGTGTGATATTTATACAAATAATATTTATATAGACTAATACTATGCCTAATATTAATTCATTCTGATATTTATTTTTAAAGGCAAGATTATATCAACATAAAGGTTCATCATTACAAATGATCGCCATCAAAAAAATAAAAAAGGGTGAACAAATTGTAAATATTATTTCTTCTTCTCTTTGTTTTTTTATTGATTAAAAAATAATTTTTCAGAGTAAGAAAGGAAATAAATCATTTGCTTATATATTTCTTTATTATATGCATTTTTAAGTTTAATACTTATGGAGATTTATGTAATGCAGGTAATTACTTTATAAAAAATATTTTTAATCAATATTTAACATTAAAACTAATTAATTTTTAATAAATTATTTATTAGATTTATTGAGAAAGTATGGATTTGTTGATGATGACAATATTCATAATATTGTTGAAATAAATGGTCAATTAGTAATTGATATTTTGTCAAATGATGATGATAAAATTAAGGAGAAAAAGGTGATTTATAGTATTTGCTATATATATATATATATATATATACATATATAAATTATAAATTTACTATGTATGCTTTTTTTGTATTAGATTGATTGGTTACTTAAAGAAGATATATTGGATGAGTGTGTAAATTTTAGTTTTAATTAAAGATCAATTGGAATATAGATTTATATTTTATATTTTTTTAGTGTCTTTATATTAGATAAAAGTGGTGAAATTCAATCAGAATTAATAATTGCTGGTAAATTTTATAACTACTATTCATTTTCATTTTTTATTTAAAAATTAAATTTAATATTTTTTATAATTAAAAAGCAAAAATCATGACAATGGATAAATCTCAATTTATAATGTTGAAAAAACACAAGAAATCATTACCAAACAACCAAATTACAACTGATATACAACAATCACTAATCAAATTATTACAGAAACAGATGTCAATCTATAAAACATCTATTAAAGTATATTGTTTGCTTTATTTGACATAATTTCCTTTTTTTAAAAAATTTTTTTTTTAATAACAATAGATTATATTATTAATACCAGACTTAGAAAGACGGAACTTGTAATGCGAAAATTTTATGATTAGTATATATGTACACAAGCACAAAAAAAAACCAAATAAAATAAAAATTTTAATATCTCATCCATAAAAAAAATTTTTTTTCAAACCTTTTGTTCTCTAAATCTTCCATCTTTGATACTTCCTATCAAATCATCCATTCTTTTCCTTTCAATAATATAGTCTAATACAATTTCTTCATCTTTTGTGGTTGATCCATATTTTTTAGCCACCCATAAAACATCACCAAGTTCTAAACTTCTAACAGATAATTTCACTCCTCTGTTTATTAATGCATCTTGTATAAAATCTCGATCTTTTGCCAACTTAATTTCACGTGTATCCAAAACAAGGATTACCTCAAATGTACCAGGTAACAACTCAACATGCTTGAAATTATCAAGTAAATCAAATGAATTATCATTATCATTATCGTTATCATTATCATTATCATTACCATAATCATTAATATCAGAATCAAAGGCTAATCCTTGATCAATTTGAAAATTACCCTCAAAATCATAGTTTGGTAAATTAATATTATTGGAACAATATGGTTCTAATGTCAAAACAGGTTCAGCAGTCAAATTATCTTCAATTTCAATAGCTCCCTGCTGGTTTCCTTCAGTGTTACTAGCCACACTTTCTTTTATTTCTATAGTATCACTTTCATTGACATTTTTCTCATCATTTGAGTTTAGCTGGTTTTCATCAACTGTATTTATAGCCTCATGCCCTTGTTCGATTTGAATATCGGCCATTTGTTGAGCAACTGACATGCCAATATCTGTTAATGAAAACCTTGAGGGACATCCACTTTTATATACATAATCTCTTTCTAACAAAATTTTCACAGAACTCCAGGCTGTGTAATGTTTTCTACGATTGTTTGATACTTCAAAGGATGTATCAGAATATTTTTGAGCTTCCCTTAACAAATCTGATTTTGTCATACTGTGAGTCAATTCATCTTTATAAGATTTGTATAATGCTACCATGATTGCATAGGGACCAGTACGATATTTTGGAACATATGTTTTTGATGATGTGGCTTTTTTTCTTTTCTTTGGTTCAAAGAAATTAGAATTTCTTTTTTCTTGATCTTGATTTATATTTTCTGTCACAACAACTTGCTTAGAACTTGAGATTTCATCTTGATATTATTATAATATAACAAGGTTCATTTATTAATAATAAAAAAAATAAATACATAATTTGACAGAACTAAATAAATTTACCAGGAGGTTCAGGCATGGTCAAATCATGTTCATCACAATGTTCTTTTAATTTTTTCTCTAACTTTTTGCAAATGATAGGACCAATACCACTTAAAATAGCTGCTTCCCTTGGATGATTAAATGGTAATGGATATACTGACATGGACTCAAAAGCCTATATATAATAACATATTTAATATGCATTGATAAAAATAGTATTATTATTAATATAAAAATATTATTATTAAAAACCTTTTTGTACGTGTAATAAAGTTTGGTATTATTATTATCCTTGGCATTTTCCATCCAAACTTTTAACCACTCAAGGTATAAAGGATTTCCACACACTGCTAATGTATCTTGTTTACGCGACATTTTTTATGTTTTCACTAAAACGTTAAAATAAATCTGCCTTTTTTTTCAAGGATTTTATATACTAGTCTGATAATAATAACTGATTGATTACTGCAGTCAGGAATTTTACCAAATTTGGAATACAAAAATTGATCGACAATAAACGTTCGCGAGTTTAGATAAATGTAAAATATTATATGTATTGATATATTGATATGTTTGTTAAATTCATTATAACTAAACAAATAATTGTCCCGAATATTCTAAATCTTTAATAAATTTATAATCAAAATAAAAAGAATGGAATGGTGTTTTATTCACTAAAATCAGAAAAAGAATTTTTCTACAGATTATGAAAGAGCAAGTTATTTCGATAGTTACGATTAGGAGGTTTTAATATCAATATATAGTGTGCAAAACAACCAGATTTCTTTCTGTTTCAATAATTTTAAACCAGTACTTTGTCAAAATTAGTACCCAGATCTTAATTAATCTTAGTGTGCTAGAATTGAATCAAGAAATTTACCAAATAAAATATATAGCAATAATGTATTTAATTTATTTACTTAATTTTATAAATATTTTTAATAAGTGAATTATACTTTTTTCAATGAAACTCAGAACATATTGATATAATATCTTCATACCTGTTTAAAAAAATCATTGACAACAATTAAAGATTCCTTGCTTCTAAAAATTTAAAAATGATTGAAAGGAAAATAAGGTCATTATTGTGAGCCATTGGATTGGATAAAAATCCCATAAATCTAAAAGACTAAAAGGTGTCCTACCAAAAAGTTTTTTTCCACTTCTTTAGCAGAAAGGCGCCAATTAAAGTAACGAAAATTGCTATTTAATAAAAATGGGCATTTAACATTTTTGTGATTTCTGTAATCATATGTCGACTTCATTATTGTGATAGATAATACCTAATTTCACCAGTAAACCCTTGGTCAAATGCTGATCCAATATGCAATGGTCCAGTGTTGAACAGAACCTTTTGCGTCTGAACATTCTCGATGCCATAGAATCCGATCCATGAAGAATCTATGTAGAGGTCTAATCTCTTTTTAAAATCAGAAAGAGTGTAGCTTATATGGTGCCATTTATTCAACGAAAGCTTGGCGGTAGTCTCACCAATTCCAGCATCACAGGCCCAATTGCCTGAGAAACGGGCATACAGTGTAGTTTTGTTTGGATGCAACCAGAGTCCAGGAGTGCGGATAATATTTTCAGTGCCTAAATATATGTGTATTTACACATTTACACAGTTTTAAAGGTGTTGGTTAGACAGCTAAGAAACAAATAAACAATCACATTCTCAGGGATATTCAGAACTCATTCTTGCAAAAAATCAACCTTTATGAAAAATGCAGGCCCAATTAGAACTAATACTTTTAACTTTCAGATACAGAGTCACTGAAAGCTCATCATTTACCATGGGCAACTCATCATGTTGCACAATTTTATTTTCAGAAGCAGTTAGGAAAATGGGGTCTGTTATAATTTCACGGAACTCTTTTACAATAATTTTCTTCATTTTTCTGAATTGAAAAAAAAAACACTAGATGGGCCCTTTTTATATATGTTCACACAATATAGTACAAACAAAATATTGTATGAATTACCCATTTTTAGATGATAACAAGTTTATCAACAAGATTACAACATTAGGGTCAGAATGTTTTGATCAACACCCAGATAATCAATCGGTTGAATTCAATTTTGATAATTGAATAATTGAATATTGAATAATCTAGCTCATTAGAATAATCGGAAAACCTTTATTATTATTATTATTATTATCATCATCAATTTACTAGTGTGAGGAGATAAAATGTGACAAAGAAGTAAACCGATAAATCAATTTATCAGTTTATTTTTTCTGTAGCACAAACTGGAGGATTAGAATAATAATAAAAGGTTGCACCTAATCCGGGCTGGGTTGGGTCTCATTGCAGGCCTTCATTTTGCTTTTTGAAATTTTTAGAAATCGTATCTCAATGAGATTTCTCAAATTACTTTTCGAACTTCTGTAAATATCCCGAAATTTCGTCCCATTCACATTGCCTTTCGGAGCTTTTGTAACCATATCCCAACAGGATTTCTTAGTTCTAGCAGACAGCCTACTACATCCATCTACTTTTTTTTACGGAGTATATTTTCAGTTTGGTGGCTAATTTAACACATGAAAGATAATATATAAATCAATTATCATTAATTCAAGATTACTTTTATCATAGCATAGCTAAAACAACGAGTTATAGACTAATAACACTATTTTTTGAAAAAAATTTGTTGTTGTTGATCAACTAGAATGACAAGTGACGATAACTACCATTCTTTTAATAATCGTAAATAATAACACTTATCCAGTGATGTCTGCGATTTGTTTTTCTCTTTCTCTTAAGTTTTTAAAGACATTTTTAAATTTTATTCAAGAAAAAAATATCAAAATCGTTTGTTTTTTTGAAAACAATCAATTTTGACAGGGCCCAAGACAAGTAAACGTGAATGTTGTTTGGTATGGTATGGTTTTAAATAAGAAGCGTTAATAACCAACCAAAGTGCCTTTTTTTTATTGTATTGGTTTATAAATATTGTTATAAATCAACATCCGATTACAATAGATATCTTTTATTGAAATCAAAATATGGAGTAATAATAAGAATCTCTATCAAGATAACAAATGTAGTGATGTTGGCCGATAGAAAACCCTTAGCCGGCTAAGCCGATAAATTTCTTAGCCGGCTAACATCACTAAACAAATGATTGGAGGTGTGTTTGCTTTTCGTAACTGTTATTAATAAAAGGAAGCATCGAGGGTTAAGAAAGGCAACACGACAGTTGAATATGGGATGGAAAACGGCATTTGGACGATTCGAAAAACAATTCAATATGTGACATTTGATTATCGGAAATTTACAAACGCTGAAGCACATATGCTACTTTAAACATATTACAGTCATTCCCATGTTCCTCATGTACACAAGGCTAATATCTGAGAAATTGAAATTTTAGAGAAAGACTTAAAAAAAAATCAAGACATCAAAAAACCAATTAGCATTTTAGGATTAAAATAAAATAATTAATGCATTATATAGTTCTTTCTGTGAATAGGACTTTTGGACTCTATTTGATTCCGAGGTTTAAATCATTAAGATTTACATTAGGTCGTTATGATATGGCATATAAATATATCAGAAGAAGTTAAGTAAATTGAAGAAAAAAGACTAAATTTAGATTTGAGAAAATCATCCATCACAAAATACCATTTTTGACGAATTATTAGATACTACACAACAAATCAGTTATGACGAATTGGCAAGATAGCGAATGAAAGGAATGATTTGCCGATTCTTGCAATGTTAGCAAATAAATATCTATGCTCAAGTGCAACAACATCTGTTACATCGGAAAGATTATTTTCTGATGTTATTATAAATGAAAGAAATAGATTGTCACCTGAAACTGTTTCTGAATTATGAAGACATTTTCTATTTTTGATTAAAATAATTATATCAATATTTATATAATATTCAATAAAGAGTTATGAATTTATTCTGAATGTTGATTCCTGAATTTCAGCTGGCTGACGCCATTCAGCAAGACAAATAAAGTAATACTTCAACAACAATTCAGATAGCAGAATTATTACTAATTTTTCATTTTTCGACTAGCGTATATAAAGAATTGAAAAATATTACTATATTTTATAAAAGTATGATATTTTAATTATAACTATTATCTTATAATTAAAGGTAATTACCAATTGAAAGGTTTTATATTTATTTATTTATTAGAGAAGAAGAGGATAAGAGGTTAAACAATTTATGATACATGTTTGGCAATTGGTATTTTGATAACTATTGATTTGTTCATATGGATGTCGTATAGTAATAGAAGCAAATGAAAAAAAAATTTCGATATTTTTTATAAGAATGGGCCTGAAAAAACTAGTTTAGTAATATTGTTTCTCTGCCGGTTTTTGATAGAGAACTCCCCATATGGGACATGTGAACATTTTCAGGGTTCAAGGTTCAATCATCACAAACATAATAATAATAATCGATAAACCGGATATAATAAACCGGTTTTATTATTAAACTTTATGTAAAGAGTCTGTGCTAAATATAAAGCATTTATCAAATTCTCTGTCATCATTTCAAACAAAAACAATAACTAAAATGTATGTATATCAAGGTTGGGAGGCGAAAATATTTTGGAGTGTAAAAAGTATTTCGTCAAAAAAAACTTTGGATTGATTAATCACATATAAATCACTATTACTTTATTTTATTAGTTATGAATTTTGCTTCATATAAAATTTCATATTAATATACTATTATTATGGTAAGTAATGTAAATACTTGCATGTAATTATTGTGCTATAAGCAACAAGTTTTGACTTGGAGAACAAATAATTAAATAACTTTTGCTTTCATTTGATTGATATATTCCCCACAAAATTAAAACCGGTTCTAATTTTGAAAAGGTGATTAAAACCGGTCCCAACCTCTATTCTGAGGGAATCACTTCCTGGTGCGAAAATGATCTTTGAGATTCAGCTAGTTGATCTATAAATAAAATTTCGGTCGTCGTCCTTGTAGTTTTTGCGGTAGGGAGAGATTCAGTATGGTATAACTCTTGCAGAACGTATGGTATGGCCCATATTTTTCCATTCCAAGTCACACAAAATTTTATTCTAAAATCCTTTTTTGGTGGGTGTGAAGGAAAGCATGTTAGATTTAAGCATTGGTATACAATACTTATACAATACCATACAATACTTTCTGCAAGAGTTACACCATACTGAATGTCCCTATACTCTAGTTTTTGTTAAGGGTAGGGGGAATCACGTGTCAATTTATATGTAGATCGGCGGCTCAAAAATTTGAATTATAGAAGTTGCATAA